TACCCTCTTGTTAAGTGAAACTATATATAGGCTTTGGGGGGATTAAACATAGGTTTTGTTTGTATTTTTAACATATTGCAAGAAAGGAGGCATGGGGTTTGGGGGTATGCTACTTTATTCCTTGTTAATAATGGATGGAATAATCCAGTGTATCAACACAACCATCCATAAGTGGTTGTGTTAAAATCTGAAGGCCATTATTCAATTTATAGAGAGCCCAGATAACTGAAGGCCCTCAAAGAGCACTTCTTTTTGAATTAACAGCATATTTAAAAGCATGCTAAGTCTGTGTAGTTGACTATTGATACTGAAGGGCTAAGAGAGCACTTAACTACTATTATGTATTCAAGAGAGAGGCTGCAGAGGCTCTCTTTAAATTCCCTACTCAGAAGGGACAATGGGAGCTAACATACACTATTACTGCACAACAGGAGCCTTTTATTGGGTGTTTCTGATCCGTTTCTGTGAGACATTCTGAAATAATCCATCACAGAACAATATTTCAGACCAGAACAAAAACAGTGCTATTTCTGTCTGAAAATGCCAATATCGAATTACACTTTTAGAACAGCAAACCAAGAGAGGGCATGGATTGCTGATGAGGATCCTTGATACACTCGCAAATCTCCTGATTTGTTCATGAGAGGTGCAGATTTACACTTTTCTTCATGCATTGAACACAAAAGTGTTTAGGAATAATAGCTGTTGCAAAAGGCACAAAGGAAAAGAGTGATCAGAATGATCAGAACTAACTCATGGAGAACTTGGTATTATCCAGCTGGACTGGGAGGAAAATAAAATGAAAAACAATCACTGAATTCAATAAAGGAGGGGCTTTTTTAAGGTTTAGATTTAGATTAGACTCTTGAAATAACAGTTTATAATAATGTGGGCAAAATGAGACTCAAATAGCTTCATTTTTCAATCACTTTTTCCTGTGGCTCTGTTTGGATTTCTTTGTTTGTAAATAGTATTAAAGAATGGATGAACTGGTACTTAGTTGTGAGAGGCAGTAAGAACCGCCTTTTGGTAATACAATTGAAAAAAAAAACATGTGTAAAGAGCAGCTGATTTACCTGGAAAGCTGCGAGTACAATGGATTAGAGTAATGGAATCATCACTAAATCTCCTTGTGTGTAGTGAGTTACTTAGCTCCTGTATTGCAAACACTCATTTTAGCCCCCTGTGCACTAAACCCCAGCCCTGGATATTGAGTGGGTTCATTCCTGCCACTGGAAATTCTTCTGTGCATCCCCTGTGAAGGCAGCAGATGGGTGCTGTGAGAACTCAGCACCACTGGCCTTTCCCAGCTTTCCCAAGAGCTTTTTGTGAGTCCTTTCTTTTAAAAAAAATATCCTACATGGCATCGTTTCTATTTTAACATTGTTTTAACCTAAAACTATATTTAACACACTACTTAAGAGAATTAATACAGCATTACTTTCTAACACAACATATCTAATATTCATTTTAGTATTTGTGAAAAGCCAGTCATAAAGTACATGCATTTTTCACGGGGAATAAATGCCAGCACTGAAAATTGCAAACTTTAGGTCCCTGAGCCAAGGTACTCATACCATGTGTACAGTGAGGTGGTGCATTGTAGGCTCAGGTTCTCTGTCATGGTATAGAAACTCTAAACCATTGCCAGGAAAGCTTTCTAGAAGTTTCATCTTCTTCCTGTGACAGGAGAGAGCTGGGCCCATAATCCAGCCTTGCACCATTGTTTATTTTACACCAACAACATGATTTCAGCTAATGGTCTATGTTTTTTTTCTGCAGAAAATGTTTTTTTCAATTTATACTTCCTAAAACAATGCCATGAGACATTCCAGCTAATTGTGTAAATTCTTTGCAGCTAATTGCAGATTTGTATTTCTGAGCTTCCTGTAGTACTGGCTGTACAGTGGTTCCAGTTAAAAGCTATTTTTAACAGCAGGGGTTTAAAAATCCTGTATAATTTAGTGGGCGAGTCTACATGTTGATCCTTGGTGTTACTTCTTGGCTCTTTGAGGATTGGAGAAATGCAGTGACTTTTTTAGCTGTTTTACAGGAGGCAGTGAGTACTCTGTGCAGCACCATTGGTATTTCTGGAGATTAGTTTATCTGCACCATGTAAATAACTGTACACAAAAAACTTATTTTTGAAAGTATTTAAAAAAATAGGAGAAATGCATTTAGTCAGAGATCTTGAAACCACTGGGAACTGAATTTTAAGTATTCTAAAAATATTAATGACTGCACATCACTTTTTTTCCACAGTCCTGGATATTTTTAGAGTAATTATTTCTCAAAATAACTGTGGTGCTTCAGCAAAGGACCTCATCAAACAGCACGTTCTTAATCATGGGCTGGAGGAGAAAAGAGTGGAGGAAGAGAAGGAGGAGTGGGGATGGGTTTTGATCTTGGGACACCTGGTTTTCGTCCCTTCCAGGGGCTCTGCAATGTCCTTGACCCCAGGCTGGTCCCCTCAGTGTCCCCTCTGCCACTGCTCCCTCAAAATTTATAATAAAATCCTCATTCTTAAAAAAACCACAACAAATCCTTTATTCCATCACACTAGAATTTAGTGTTCTAGAGGAAAAATAAGATTTTTTTTTTTTCCCCCCATTGGGGAATTTATAGATTGTTTCTGTGTTCTGAGGTTTATCCCAGATCTTAGTGTCAATAATTCAGTCTTCCCTCACTTGTATGAATTGCAATTGAAATACTTTTAATACCAAAATTAGATGCAGAAGAAATAATCTTTTCTTACTAAAGTAGATTAAAAAGTTCCATATTTTTTTCTAACGAAATCTAATAATAATGTTTTAGTTATCAGTATTAATATTATGTACAAATTCAAAGGCAGATTGTCAAAATATAATTAGAAGGCTCTGTGCAAGAAATTAAATACACTCTAGTAGCAGAGATGAAAAAAGCATCTGTTTTGAAGTACTTTAATTAGAAATTAGATGACTAGAGTAGGGAAAATAGGATTTGTATGAGATGAAATCAGAAAAAATATAAGATTATTAGCTGCAAAGAGCAGGAAAATACCTATGGAGCATGAAGGAAGCCAAGTGTTATCTAGGATTTATGGTGAATAATGTAAATAAACTGTAACCTTTGACTTCTAAAAATATCTTGCTGTTTTCTAGACATACTTGAAGTTATTGTAGTTATTCTTAAAACCTAATGGAAATGAGTGATTTTGTTACTGTGTTTCCCTCAGCCAGATGAATGCCTCTGGCTCTTCAGCTCACTTTCACTTGCAGGCTTCTGCACTAGGTCAGGTTTGGAAGCATCTGTGGTGTTAAATTCTTCCATATTCCAATGTCCCCATTCCTGAGGTCAAACAAGTGTGTGGATAGGGCTTACTTATTAATTTATTTTATGTTTTGTAATTAGGATCTCAATGGCTGCATGTTCATTTGCCAGCTTCCACACAAGGGCTGAAGGCTGAGAGAGACACTAATACAGTCAGTGATGTGTTGCCTTAAAGTAAGGGGGAAAAGTAGCTTGTTTTATATTTTATCTTTTGTATTAGTTGTGAAAAACAGTAAACATCTCTAAATCCTGTTAGTTAAGGGTGTCTGAGAAGGTTAGAAGCCTAGTAATTAATGAGATTTCCAGTAGTCACAGTCTTAGTTAAACTGCATAAATTACAAGAATTATTTTATTACTCTTCAACATTTCCAATATTTCTCCTTCAAGTGACAGCTGCAAGCAACAAACAGAGAACTGGTTAATGGCAGAAATTTTTAAAAATCTCTTTTAAGAGAACTCTGGCCTAGTGAATGAAAATTGAGAATTGCTCCCGTAATACTGTGGAAAATGTGCCTACCATTTGTACTTAATCCTGTCCTTCCAAACACATTGGACTCAACTCAGTGCAATTCCATTGCATGTCAATGCACAATGTCTGAAGTTTCACAAATCTCCAGAAAGATTTGATGGGTTGGAATTGTGTGATTCACAGATCCTGACAGCTTGAGGCATGTCAGTGTATGTGTGTATAAAATCCTGTGTGTGTGTGTACAGATATATGCACATATATCTGCAAAACCAGATGTCTCAAATCCCACTTCTCCTGGTGGACTGTATTCCAGAAGTGGAGATGATTCTTTCTTAGTTTGAAAGTACAATGTTCAATCTGTATTCAGCTAAGTCTGCTAAAGTACAATTTTAAGAAAATCTGATGGGTTTTAAGTTTATTTAAAAGAAAAAAAGGAAATAAGGAACCTTAAACTTGTGTCATTTGTTCGAAATGGGCATTGCGAAAGTGTTGGTTTAAATGGATTTGGTTATTGCTTTGATTTTTATTCCTTGGGGAAAAAAAAAAAAGTTTTGTTTTATCTGGTTTTGTTAATCCTGAACCCATTTTATTTACTGGAAAGCAAAATATTTGCACAAATATATTTGTGCATCCCTCTGAGCAAAATCTGCTGAATTTAGATGTGTCAGCGATCACTCAGCAACAACGGGAGCGATGGAACCCAGGTCCTCCTGGCCTGGTGTCCGTGCTGGGAATGCTGCCCATGATTTTC